AAAAACTGGTGCAAAAGACAAAGCTGTCAAAGATGCATAGGAACAGGAGTGTGCATGGCTTTCTCTTGAAAATATTAAGCAAACAAGGAAGTGAAAAGATGGAGGAAACAGAGAATTGTAAGAGTTCCTCACTGCATCAACCGGAGCCTAGTACTCTGTATCTAACACTTGTGGGGAAAGAGACTCTTAAGCAGAGGATACAGATGTGGAATTATCTCAACTCCTCGGAGGAATCATCTGAGTCTTACTATTGGAGCTTTAGCTATGAAGCACAAGATTTAGTATTTCTTCAAAAAGCTGTGATGAATTAAAGAAACTCTGGATATTCTTGCTTTCTTTATGTAAATATCCAATCCGTTTTAAAAGCCTAACTTCTGGGCCTTTGTAAATTTGTATGGCAGTGGGCATGTCCACACAAGATGCTTTACTGTGCAGTAGACTAATCTACTGCACAGTAAAGCATCACTATGTGACCATGTGCTGAACTACTGCACAGTAAATAGGCTAATAAACAGTAAATCTACTACTTGTAAATACTATAGATTTACTGTGCATTAGCTAATGAGCAGTAGTGCATGTGTAGACCTTGGCTGGAAGCAAATTTGCTCTGAGTCCCAGTCAGGCCAGTAGGGGGCAAGCCTCATGCCAGGGGCAGAGCAATGTGGCTGAGACAACTCTCTAGCAGTTCCTGGATGGCCTTTAGACCCCTAGCTTGGCACCTGATGTCTGGGTCAGGTGATGCCTGCCCTTAACTACTGTGTGCTGGGCATGTGTTGGTAGTAGCAGTGCTGCAAAGCCCCAGCCTTAACCCCTCAGGCTTTTCCTGGCTGCTTCCTGGCAAGTGGACACCATGCCTCTGTACTGTGGGCACGTGCTGACTCTAGCAGTCCTGTAGGCTGTCATGTGTGAGCAGGAGAAGGACCAGGAGGACTGCATCTTCTGGGACAGGCCCATTGCCCTCCTTGAGATGATGCTGGAGGCATAAGAGAAGCAGGCTGTCACAGTGGCCTGGTCAATGGAGGATGGTGCTGGACACCATCCTGGCCCTGGTAGTCCCCTTAATGTTGTTCATGACCCAGCTCAAGCCCCATCCATTGCCTAGCTGGCAGTCCTTGCATCAGCCCTGGCTACACCTCCAGCCCTACCTGTGGCCCTATGCCTAGCCCTCCAGTGGGCCTAAGAGGAGGTCCCACAATGGCTACCATTCACCTGCCCACCACATGGCCCCTAAACAGGAGATGGCCCCTGCTGGGCCCACAAAGTCCACCCTCGCCCCCAGCCAAACTCCCAGGCCACCAGCTTCACTGCAGTGTCCATACCTGTAGTGGTGCCACCAGAGACTGGGTTGCTAAGTGCCTCTTCCCGGTCTCTGTGCAATAGGTGCCTCCAGCTTCACTGTTCCCCCTTGACACTACACCAACACACTCTTGTAAATAGCTGCATGGGGAAAGGGGTGTTTTATTGGTGGTAAGTGTTGGGATTCAGGGTGGGGCCTGTTGTTGGGGAGGGAAGTTGGGAAGGACTGTGTTGTTGGGGACAGAGGGCAAGAGGGAGTGGGTTGTGGTGGAGAGAAATAAAGATTATTGATTGGAAACTGTCTAGAGTGTGTGTGGTCTTGGGGGTGCACTGTGGGTCTGGGGTTTATGGGCAGCTGCCCAGGCACCTTACTGTGGGGAGTGGAGAAGTAGGTCATTCACGACCGCCTTGCAGACATGGTCCCCTGTCCGCCACTGCTGGCGGGGGAGGGCAGGGAGTCTTCATGGAGCACTTGCCACAAGCTTGTGGGACAGCATCCTTGCCCAGCCTCTGCTTGTCCCCTCTGGAGATCCCTGCCAGCCTCAGCTGCCTTCCCCGCCTCCCCTGGAGGCCCCTGGCACCCAGGCAGCTGCATTTGGAGCCTGAAGCTCCCCCTGGTTTCTGCAATAGGTCAGAACAGGGCAGGAACAAGCCTGTATTTGTTTCGTCCAGGGGTGGGCAAAATATGGCCCACAAGCTGGATCCAGCCTGCCTACTGGATACAGTCTGTGGCTGCCCCTATAGTGCTTCACATGGGGCTGAGCCCCACCCGCTCTTGTCGGGGAAGCCTGCACCACACTCCTGCCAGCCTCAGACAGCAAGCAACTTCTGGCGGGGTTGTTGCCAGCATGGCTGCAGCCGACCAAATGCTCCTCTGCTCCCCTCACCTCCAGTGGGAGGAGTCAGGCTGAAGCTTCCTTCTCCCTCAACACCTGACCACCCAGAGCAGCACAGCAGGTGCAGGAGCAAAAGGAGGAGTGGCCACTGGAGGTGAGGTGAGCACAGCAGCAGCCAATTGGCTGTAGCCACACTGGGAACCTTCTCACTGGAAGCTACATGCTGGCTGGGGCTGGGGTTGGTGAGGCTGTTCTACTCCACTTACCTCCAGCTGCGGCTGCTGCTCCTCCTGCTCTTGCTGCACTGAAATTGGTAGTGGAGCATGGAGAGGACACAGCCAAAGCTACCTGGCACAGAGAAAAGTTGTACAGGATCTTCCAACTCCCCTGCTGCAGGGAAGGGTGCAGTGACAACAAGGAAGAAAAAGAAACAAATGGAACTGAGAATAGCGACAACAGCAGTAGTTCCTTCAGTGGGAGCTGGAGCAACAATGACATGGACAACAGGTGAACTGAGTATGTGACTCCACAAGTGGGGTGGGGATGAAAGGAAGGGGTGGCCTGGTCTGAGAGACCAGAGTTTGTTTGTGTGTGTGTAGCATGTGGTGTAGATATTGTAACAGGTCTGGGTGGCCAGTGGGCCTTTGTACAGGTGTGCAGACTGTGTGGGTGCATTTTTTTTGGTAACTGGTTGTTTTTTCTTTGTGGAGAGATACTCGGAGTGTAGATATATTTAACCTCAGAGATATAGATATACATATATATTTCAAAAAAAGAAAAGAAAAAAATAGCAGCTCCAGGTGGGCAGGAAGCTTTAGCCAGGTGGCTTCTGCCTAAAGTATGGAGCCCCAGCTTTTGCTTCCAGCCTCTTTCCACCCACTCAAACCATATGGAGTGGCTGCTCATCACACTGGGCAGAAGAAGTGGGTGGAAGGCAGCTGGGAGCTATAGCCAGATTTCCACATACTGGATAGGAGCTGCCCAGCTGAAGCTTTCCTCCCACCCACCCAGAGTGGTACTGCAGGCACAGGGGCAGGAGCAGGAGAAGCAGCTGTAGCTGGAGGCAAGGGAAGAGGAACAGTGCTCAGCTTCTGGTGGGGCTTTTCCTGTTGTTGCTGCAGCCAGTCGGGTGCTGCTCTGGTCCCTTTGCCTCACGGTGACAAAGCGAGCCTGGCCAGCTGCAGCTGTATTGGGAACAGCCCATGAATGATCCATGACCCCAGTGGCTGGGGTGCATGGCAGCAGTGGGAACTGGGTGGCAGGAGCAGCAGGAGCCCGGCGGCAGTAAGCACGGGAGTTCCCGCAGCCACTGCTGGCACTGTTGGCAGTGGTGTGGGAGGTGGCAAGTGCCAACCAAGAAAATTAGAGGAGGGGCACACTGAAGTGCTCTGGGTTAGAATGCAAGGCAGTCAAGGGGAAAGAGATTTAATGGTGGGGGTCTACTACAGACCACCCAACCAAGGGGAAGAGCTAAACCGGGAATTCTTAAGTCAGCTCACGGAGGTAGTTAGGTCAAAGGATGTGGTCATCATGGGTGACCTGAACTTTCCAGACATTTGCTGGGAAGAGCAGTCAGCCAGGCCTGACCGCTCATGTAGGTTCCTAGCCAAAATGCAGGACCTCCATCTAACCCAGGAGGTGCACCAGGGGAGATGCCTTGTTGGACCTGGTGATGACCTGGTGAGGGGCTGCGGGTGCTCAACAACCTGGGCGACAGTGATCATCGCCTGCTGGAATTCACCATCCAGCACAAGGTGGCAAAGGCTTGCAGCAAGGCAGCAGCCCTAGATTTCAGTAGGGTGGACTTCAATAAGCTAAGGAGAATAATCAGGGAAGCACTGAGGTCCTGAAGGGGAGGGGAGCCGAGTGTCCAAAAAGTGTGGTTGTTCCTTAAGGAGACGACCCTCCAAGCCCAAAGGGAGGTAATCCCAACATGGATCAAAGGGAGGAGGAGGGCACAAAAGCCCCCATGGCTCACCAAAAACATCTGGGAATGTCTCCTAGCTAAAAGGGAGATGTACACCCAATGGAGGGGAGGGGCCATCACCAGGGAGGACTATACTGCGGTTGCTTGGAGACGGAACTGGGACTAGTTTCCCGGATCAAGGACAACAAGAAGTCCTTTTTTAAATACCTAGGGGGCAAAAATAAGGT